CGACGGCCGGCGGCGAGGCGTGGTGGCGCGCGGTGGCGACGCGGAGGCGCGGGAAGGAGGCGGGCGAGCGCTCGGGCGGCGCGGCGAGGCGTGGTGGCACGCGGCGGCGGCGCGGGGAGGCGCGGGAGGAGGCGGCCTGGCGACGCGGGCTCGCGCGGGCCGGCTTCGGGCCCCACGGGCCGCGGCTGCGGAGGGCCACGTGGCGCGATCTGGGTGGCTGGGCACAGCGACGCGGCGTGTCCGGGCGGTGCGGACACGTCCGACGGACAAGAGGGGCGATTTTTTAGGGTTTGGACCCGGGAATGGACGGGGAGACCCATTTATATAGGTAGGGGGAGTTAGGAATGTCTAAAAGAGGTGCGGTTTTCGCCCACACGATCGTGATCCGACGGCGGAAAACATGGAGATGGTTTAGATGGGTTATTGGGTTGTTTTGGAGGGGTGTTGGGCTGTAACACACAAGAGGCTGTTGCGGTTACCCGGTTAACCGTTGGGGTATCAAACGAGCTTCAAATGGAACGAAATTTGACAGGCGGTCTATCGATGGTGTACCAAGGCCACTTGACAAATCTCAACTCATTCCGAGATCGTTTAACTCCCATTCACGAAAAGAGACACAAGGGGTGCACCGATGCATGTAGGAGTGTCGGATTGCGAAACGGGCAATGGGGAAAATGCTCGGATGCATGAGACGAACACGAATGCAAATGCGATGCACATGATAAAATGCATGACATGAACAAAATGCAAAACAAAGACAGAACCCAACCACGAAGGAAATCTCATAACTTGAGGCCGAAAATGGCAAGAGTCGAAGTTACAAATATGGCAAGTTACATCTAGGTGTTACACATACCTAATTCAATCTCGTTACCGGCAAATCTCTTTACCCGTTTCATAATGCATCATCCCGTTAACTCATTAGTCACATTGTTTGCAAGGCTTATTATGATGTGCATTACCGAGAGGGCCCAAAGATATCTCTCCGGTACTTAGAGTGACAAATCATAATCTCGATCTATGCGAACCCAAGAAACACCTTCGGAGATACCTATAGAGCATCTTTATAATCACCCGGTTACATTGTGACGTTTGATAGCACATAAGGTATTCCTCCGATATCCGGGAGTTGCATAATCTCGTAGTCAAAGGAATATGTATGAGTCATGAAGAAAGCAATAGCAATAAAACTTAACAATCATTATGCTAAGCTAACGGATGGGTCTTGTCCATCACATCATTCTCCTACTGATGTGATCTCATTCATCAAATGACAACACATGTCTATGGTTAGGAAACTTAACCATCTATGATTAACGAGCTAGTCTAGTAGAGGCTTACTAGAGACACTGTGTTTTGTCTATATATCCACACATGTATCAAGTTTCTCGTTAATACAATTCTAGCATGAATAATAAACATTTATCATGATATAAGAAAATGTAAAATAACAACTTTATTATTGCCTCCAGGGTATATTTCCTTCACTATGTTCCAAGGTACAATTGGTCAAGATGAAGCATCCTCATCTCTACAAGGTCCAATGGCGTAACAACTCCAACACCATCCAAGTGAAGCACACCGTTCAAGTCTCCTTCAAGATTAGCGCATACGGAGACACTTTGGAGTGTGATGTGGTTCTTATGTCCGTTTACCACCTCTTGCTTGGACAACCTTGGCAATTTGATCGCGATGTCATGCACAATGGAGGAACCAATCACTATAGCTTCAAGATGAAGGGGAAGGAGTACGTACTATGACATATGTCACCAAGCTAAGTGATCGTCGACAAGCAAGCGATTACCCATCGCAGAAAGAATAGTGAGAGAGTGAGCCATCAAAAAGAGAGTGAACGCCGCAAGCCAAAATTGAATGCCTCCACGATGAGCGACAAGAAAAACTTAGTGTTATTTGCTACCAAAAGTGAGATGAGAGAAGTGTGTGAGAACCCGTTATACACTATGTCCTATTGTGCAAGGATGAGGCAACAAAAACTAACACCTCTCATCATCTACCTTTAGTGTTGTCTTCTTTATTGCAGGAATTCAAGGACGTTTTCCCCGATGAGCTATCTCCGGGACTACCTCCTTTACACGGCATCGAATACCGAATCAACCTCATCCCCGGCACACCGTTACCAAACAAGGCACCCTACCGCGTCAACCCGAAAGAAACCAAAGAAATTCAGAGGCAAATACAACAACTCATTGACAATGGGCATGTATGTGAAAGTTTAATCATTGCGCGTGCCGGTAATTCTTGTGCCTAAGAAAGACGATAGTTTTCGCATGTGTTCCGATTGTCGTCCTATCAATGTTATCACTGTTAGCGGAGCTACCACATTCTCTAATATTTATCTTAAAAGTGGTTATTATCAAATTCGCATTCAAGAAGGTGATGAATGAAAAACCGCTTTTAAAACCAAATTTGCCTTGTAAGAATCGCTCGTTATGCCTATGGGCTTATCCGAAGCACCTAGCACTTTTATGCATGTAATGCATTATGTTCTCCGCCCTTGCATTGGCGTATTTGTTGTGGTCTATTTTGATGATATTCTTGTGTTTAGCATGTCCCTATACGATCATGTCACCCATCTTAGAACCGTTTTGCAAACTCTAAGAAAAGAACGCCTTTATGTTAATATGGACAAATCCCTTTTTGGTTTGATAAGCTTATTTTCTTGGATTTTGTTGTGTCTTCTAAGGGTGTTCATGTAGATGAAGCTAAAATTGATACTACTCCCTCCATTCATTTTTATAAGTCGTTTCAGACAACTGAAAATAAATTGTTTTGCATGTTGTCTGAAATGTCTTCAAGGCCTTATAAAAATGAACAGAGGAAGTATTAAAAGTTGGCCACAATCAACCAACATGCAACAAAGTGCGTGGTTTCCTTGGCTTAGCCAGTTTCTATCCTAGATTCGTTAAGGACTTTAGCACTATTGCATCCCTTTTGGATGCCTTGAGTAAAAAAATGCACCATTTGTATGGGGACCATCCCAAGATACCGCATTTCATAAGCTTAAGAATTTGCTTACACATGCTCCTTTGCTTGCTTTGTCCAATTTTAACAAAACTTTTGAAGTTCATTGTGATGCTAGTGGCAACGATATAGGAGGTGTGTTAATGCAAAAGAAGCGCCTCATAGCTTACTTTAGTGAGAAACTTTCTGGAGCACAACTTTTAATAGAAAGATATTACATCAAGGATGAGTGTCTTATGCGAGCTAACAAACTATGTACCCCCGAGTCTTCTCTTCCTTTGTTACTTCTGCAAGAAGCTCATGGAGGACTTATGGGACACTTTGGACGTTACAAGATATTCGCTACGCTCTCCAATAACTACTTTTGGCCCAAGATGTTCCGTGACGTCTCTCGCTACACCAACCGATACATGGAGTGTCCAAGACTATTGTGTCGGACCATGACGTCAAGTTCCTAAACAACTTTTGAAAGACTCTATGCGCCAAGCTCGGTATCAAGCTCCTATTCTCCTCGGCATACCACCCACGAATCGACAACTAAACGAAGGTCATGAATCAGACGCTATCTACCCTCCTACGTGTGTTCATAAAAAAGAACATCAACGGATGGGAAGAGTGCTTACCTATACTCGAGTACACCTACAATCGCACAAGACATCTGACTACCAGCAAGTCCCCTCCTTCGAGGTCGTCTGCGGTTTCAACCTGTTGTCCCCATTGAACATTCTACCTCTACCACTACAAAAGCGCATCAACATGGACGCGAGTGCACAAGCGAGCTATCTCAAGAAGATGCATGAAGATACAAGGCACACCATCGAGCGCCAAGTACAACGCCTGCGACCAAGATCAACTTCAACAAGAATCCCATGATATTCAACACCGGAGATCTTGTGTGGCTACTCCTTCGCAAGGAACGCTTCCCCAACGAACGCAAGTCCAAACTCCTACCACGAGCCGACAGACCCTTCAAGGTGCTAGAACACTACAACAACAACGCCTACAAGATCGACATCCCACGCGACAAGTACTTCGTGAGCGGCATATTCAACGTCAAGGATTTCTCTCCCTACCACGGTGATGAGGCTTCTGATCCGAGGTCGGTTCTTTCCCGGGGGTGGGGAGATGATGTGGACCATCCTATGGTCATCCCATGGACCTCCCATTGTCTCGCCAAGTGCCAAGAGGACCGATGACACGAGCACGAGCTAGAGCTCTCGAGACCGAGGTGACATCTCTCCTTAGTGATATTCCATATGACTCACTCGAGACATGGCTACTACCTAAGTCCGAAATGTTGTGCATGATCAGATATCAAAAGGACCCTCTCGGATATGCAAAGACGAACAAGTCCCCAACTTCAAGGATGAAGAGAACCAACGGAAGGGACCGAGAACAACTCCCAGGACCCCGAACATCCGGCCCCTGAAAGTGTCATCAGCAGTCGCCCAGCCGTCGAGCTACAGGGCCTGAACATCCGGCCCGACGCGAGCCCGGACATCCGGCCCCAGCCCGGAAATCCAGCATCCTTCACAAAACCTCACCAAAGCCGGCCCCCGCCAGCCCATACATCCGGCTCAGGCCCCGGACATCCGGCCCGACATGAGCCACCGGACATCTGGACTCCAGCCCGAAAATCCGGACCACGCATATCCAGAGAGCACCGAAAC